AAATTCGATTAAAAAAATATAGTTTATGAAAATTTTATAAATAAAGTTTATAAAAACTTCATTAAAAAAAAATTGCAAAAAACAGCATTAAATTAAAGCAAAAACATCATTGAAAAATATTGAGAATTTTATAAAATAAATAAAAATTATAATTTCATTAAATGTGATATGAAATTCCATTCAAAAATTTGTTGTAACTTTATATAATTTTAATTGAAATCAAATCAAATATTAAGAAAAGTAATATGATAAAATAAAATTCGGAAACTTTATTAAATACATGAATAAATTAGATGAAATATTTTGTATGGAATTAGGTTTAAAAAGGAATTGGAATTTCATAAAAACACATTTGATGGAACTATATAAAAACAAATTTCAAAAAATTGCATAAAATATGAAATGAAATCTCATGAAATACTAAAATAAAATTGGATAAAATACATAAATTATAATTTTATTAAAAATAATATTGTTAGAATTTGATGAAAAACTTTGTGAAAATTTGATGAAAAATAAAGATTCAATTTTATTTAAATTTTTAGTTGTAACTAGATTTAATATTGTTTGAAATTAGATTAAAATGCTGCTAAAATTACATAAAATCATACTGAAACTTGGTTAAATTGCTTTTTAAACGTAATAAGAAAAAAAAATAAAAATTTCATTAAAAGCATGAACAAAATTTCATGAAATTTTAGTATTAAACGATGTAAAATAGCGTTTTATAATATCATAAAATAATATTATTTCAAATTTTATAAAATATATGTTAGAATTGGATAAAATTAATAAATCGATAATTAGATAAAAAAAATGGAAGAAATTTGATAAAAAAAAATCGTTTGAAACTTTGTTAAAGGTTGACAATATAAATAGCATTAATCATTTTGTAGAAACCATATCAAAAAAATCGTTATAAATGATTCTTTCTTTGTAGATAAAAAATGTTTAACTTTTTGAAATAATTATTCTTATATACAAACTTTTTGAAAAAATATAAAAAAAAACAATATTGATGCTTTATTTACATAATTGATCAATAAAATTTTAATATTATTTAATAATAAGTAATAGAATTATATTTAAGTTAAAAGTCATAAATAAAATTTATAATTTTTTTTTTTTGAGATTATTAAATCATTTTAAATTCACATTTTTTATGAAAAAATACTCTCATATTTAATGGTAATGAATTAGGCGATCATTAATATATGTATTATTCAAAATAAATATGAATGAAAGTTAACATCATTTTTCAAAATATTAATAAAACCTATTTTTTCCTTGAGTCTGTTTTTTATTTTGGTAAATAATAATTTGCTTATTGAGATTTAATTCATCTAGTCATAATCCTAAAATGAACGGTAAATACTTTTTAATAATAGAAACTACTTTTGCCTTGAAAGAACCAAAATAGTTTAAAACGTTCATCGTTATAATATTTCCAGTTTATCGTTAGGATTAATTGCTGAACAAATTTTGGCAATTACCTGCATCATTAAAAATTTTGATTATTTTAATTTTCTTTTGATTAATTTGCTATCTTTGATTCAAAAAAATTTTTTTGAATATGAGATTGTTATTCAAACTTTTTGACAAAAATATTTTCCAATCAATGCAAAATATTACATCTGTTAATTTAGAACAACCTTCAAAAATATAAATGACAGTTTTTTGACGAAGGAATTGTTACTTTGGTTAACGAAGAACAGTCTGCAAAAATCCATCTCTTCAATTTCAGTTACATTATCTTTAATTGTCTTTTTTTTTACTGAAGAACAACCTGTAAAGAAGTTTTTTTTTTTTTTTTTAATTATGTACATCTCAAATTGAATGTATATTTGTTCAAGCTTCTCGCATCCATTGAAGACAGAATCTTCATAGCGTGTGACAGAGGAAGGAATTGTTGTTCGCTTCAATGATGAGCATGCAGAAAAAAATATCTCCTAATTGCATGAATGCTGTCAGGAATGATTTACTTCTTCCAATGATGAACACTTGAAGAATGCAAAATTACAAAGACATGTAACAGATGAAGAAATTACTACTTAATTGAAAAGATAGTCAACAATTTTGTATCGTATATTTTTTGGCCAATATATTTTCATCCGAAAAAGTAAGAGTCCGTTTATTTTGAATTGTTACTAACAGAGTCATTAATAAAGGAAAAACTAATTGAAAATGAGAAAAAAAATACGATTCGAGTCAAATCCTATTTCGCTAATTCTCCAAACCTGAAAAAAGTAGTAATTTCTTCATCTGTTACATGTCTTTGTAATTTTGCATTCTTCAAGTGTTCATCATCAAATTTTGATACTTAATTCAAAAATACTTGTAAAATCTTCTGATCTCAAACGAAGATTTATAATTTTTAAATTGAAATAAATAATAAAAATTTTGAAAAATTGAAATAAATATGTTTATGTCAATCAAATTGAGAGAAAAAAATTAATTGTTTGCCATTTATTTTTATACCAATAATGACTTGTGTAATCAAACTCAAAAAGAGTTCAATTTTACAGGTTCCATTTCACATTTACCAAAAAGATTTCACATTTATTATAAATGGGGAGAGAATTGAAACAAATAAATTTGTTGCTGATTTATTATCTCCAAAAATTTTAAAGATTCACTACAACGAGCCAACGTTTAGCGAATATTCGATCACCACACGGTCAAAAGGAAACTTTCAAAACATCCTTAATCTAATTAAATTTGGTGACTTGGAAATCAACGAAACCGAAATCCCATATCTTTCAGAAATCGTCGATCAACTTGGGATTGAACAAATTTCGATTAATATTCCTTCGATAGAGATTACCTGCGATAATGTTATTGGCATGATCAAAGAGCATGCTCAAACAAAATATTTTTACAAATCTAATCTTGAGAACGAAATCGATTTTGTGTCAGAACACTTCAGCGAACTGAATTCAGAGCAAATAGAAGAGCTTATGAAAGTGGGTGATGACATACTGGAGCAGATTATCGGCAATGAAAAGCTCTCGCTTGAGTCAGAAGACCAACTTTTGAGATTTGTCAGCGATCTTTATGAAAAAGATGTAAAGTATTCAAATTTCTATGAATACGTTATTTTCAGTAATATTGAACTAAGCAGCATGAAGGAATTCATCTCCAAATTTGATCAAGAAGATCTGACGCGTTCTACATGGGAATCATTGGCCAAATGCCTGCTGAATGAAAAAGTTGTAAATAACAGACGATACAGAATGAAGCGAAAAAGTGTCAAAGAAATCCCTTTTTCAGACAACAATTTGAAAGGTATTTTCAGTTATCTTCGGACACAATCAGACATCAATGATGAAGTCAGAGTAACGTATTCATCATGTGAAGGAGGTGATGCAAAACTTCTTCTTGACATTGAAAATTCCAACAACTTTTACACAAAAAATTCGGCGAATTCATGGATTTGCTTTGAATTCACAAATCACAAAATAATTCCATCAAATTACACAATCAAGTCCTATGGTAGTAAAACTAACGGCCACCATCTGAAGAGCTGGAAAATAGAAGTTTCAGAAGATGGAAATTCATGGACCAAAGTTGACGAGCAAAAAGACTGCCCTTTTCTAAACGGTCCGCATCAAACACACACATTTCTGATTGATTATGGCAAAATTGAATCCAAAGAAGAAGGAATCAAATACATACGAATATATATGACAGGTCCAAGCTGGTATAGTCCAGGCACTTATTATTATTTAGATTTATGTTCAATTGAATTTTATGGCGAGTTGTTTTAAATTTCACCTAAGTGAATTGGCCTTTTTTCTGTTAAATATTCAATTTAAACGTATTTATATTTTATTTTTATTCTCTGTTTTACAGCTTTGTGAGTTATAGAGAATTGAAATTAATTAAATAATTGCCAAATTATGATGAAATTCAAAAAATATATGAAAAAAGTTAAAAAGTTTTATTTAGGTAGTTGAATGCTTTTTTATCTTCTAAATGTAGAAATAAGTGATGATCGATATTCAAATGTGTGTTTTCATTACAAAAATTTGTAAAATATGCTTTATACTTATCAAAGCAAAAATAATGCTTTTTTACAACATCTTTCCTTTAATGATTTAGCTTTGCTCAAAAACGAGAAGATTAGGATACAAGAATGACTCGAAGAGAAGTTTCAGCGTTACTTTTGGGTGGTGAAAAAGAAGATATTGACTTTGTAAAATTGCTTTTAAATAATCCAAAAATTAACCTCAATAAAATAATGATCATGTATTATGATTCTAAAAGTCGCAGTGGTCTATATAATCTAGATGAAAAGAGGGAAGAAAAGACGGCATTACATCTTGCTGATGAAAAAAGGCAATTTTGAAATAGTCCAACTTTTGTGTCAGAAAGAGAACATTGACGTTAATATGAAAACAATTAATAGTTACCCAGGATTTGATGACATAAGGGAGGGGATCACGCCATTTCATTTTGCAATTGGCAATGAAGATAGTAAAATTATTGAAATTCTGGCTTCAAATCCAAAAGTAGTTATCAATTTGAAATCAACAATTGAACAATGGTGCCACGGATGAAAAGAAGATTATGAAGAAAAAACACCATTTTGCTTTGTTGTTGAAAAAGGCAATCAAGAAATATGTAGAATTATTTTGTCAAATAAAAATGTCAATGTTAACAAAAAGTTGTTTGAATTCTATACCTAAGCATTCAAAAGAAGATGTTGAAAGAATTTTAATGCTTTCAAAGAATTCAAATTCTTCATTTCATTTCAAGTTGGAAAATGCAGATTCGATAACATATAAGTGATGACCACTGGCAAATACATAAAAATTTAAACCATATTAACAAAAAGATGATTTTCTTTGATTGAATATGACGTATTTAGCTTAACTTAAAAATTTAATCACTTCTGACTTAAAGATGTCGAATTAGCCCTATCATTGTGGCATTTGGCCAACCATTGTCAAAACTCAAGAATGATTCACTTCTTGGAAAAAAAAAAAAAAGTAAAAAAATGACAGCTATAGGATTCGAACCCATGCGTGCTAGCACAAGAAGGTAGCAACCTCTCGCCTTAACCACTCGGCCAAACTGTCTTGTTATTTATTTATAATAAAATATATTTGGATCATTTTTTCTTTGAAAAAGATTAAAAAATAATTAATGAAATATTTTTTTTTATTGTTATTTCAATATTGGATTTTGTAAATACATCATTAAAATGACTTTAATAATGTATACTCCATAATTATAAATTTATGTTTAATTGTGCATTCCTGCTTCATTTGTCCATTTCATTATTTTCATATGGAAAATGTTTACAATGCATTTGTATCTCATTAGTGAGTGCTTGAATTAACCTTTTTTTAATAATTGGCTCTTTTTGTTGAAATAAAACTTCTATTATATATAATATTCATCAATTTGTGTAAAAATAATCTGGAAATAATTGTTGGATACTCTCTATCTTTTCTTTGATTTAGGCTATATTGGAATACCAAAACCTTCATAAAATAAATAATTGATACAATTCATTCGTAACAATTGGTCCTTTTTTATAATTAATCATTAAATCTATATCTTCAAATTCCTTGTACAAACTTTCAAATTTATTTAAATTATCTAGATTTTCCTGGTAGTAAAAATTTAATACCTTTTTAGCAATTTCGTATGCTCCTCTTGTATTTAGGTGCAATTTAAAATGTTTTTCAAGTATTTCAACTGTGATAATCTTGTATTTCTTTACGAATAAAATGACCAAAAGAAGATAAGAATAATCATGTGATTTGGGAGAGCTTGGGATGTAAAATCCTCCCAAATGATCGTTTTCAATTCAATTTTCTCCCAAAAATAAATGCGGATATGCTGTCACTTTTTTGTTTTATATAAAAAAAAAATAGGCTGATGAGAATCGAACCTAATACCTTTGAATAAAAACAATTGCATTTATAATTCTCAATTTTTATAATAAGTATAGCAATTTTGAAGTTTATTGGTATTGGAATCAATTAGATTATCAAAAACAATTGCAAGCAATAGAAGTAAAACAAATTTTATTATCCAAACTTAGATAACAGTGATTAACGAAAATCTTTAAAGTTTTTTAAGGTTTTACCTAATTAAAGAGAGGAAACGTATGCCTTGTATTCATCATATGTTACTTTGCATTTCGATGATTGATACCTTTCAACTCTTGATCGTTCCATTGCTTTTTTATCGTATTTTCCCCAATATCCTGCCTTCATTGCTAGCTGCTTAAGAGTCTGCTCCTTATTCCATTTTTGTTCGGATGCTACTTCTGGTAAGAAGGTAGCACTGCAGCCATCAATAAATAATCTTATGCCATGTACTCCAACTTCCCAGTCAAGAGCATCTTTAGCTTCTTCAAATGTATGCAAAAGTGAGATTCCTACATTTAGTTTTGGAATTTCATCTGCGGAAATTGGGCTAAATCTTCTATCGCGTAAACCTGAGATGCATGCGTATTCTTGGAGGCCCGAATAAAGAGGCTGTGGTTGAAAGTTTCCAATGCAACCTCTTAAACTCTCTCCAATTTTCCATGTGACAAACATTGGATAAGCGACATTTGTCTCTTTAACAACTTTTGAAGAAACCTTTTTGGAATTTTGTCCAAGTACCCTATTTTCGAGAGCCTCGAAGCATAAATAGCAAAGTTCTTTTGTTGCAGGTTGGGAATCGTTCGACATAATTTATGTGAAATGACCAATTTACCCTTTCAACTAGTCTGCCATTTATACTCACATTTTGAAATATTATTCCACTTTTTCTAATAATTTTCTTTTCATATAAAACTTATTATTATTTATGTGAACAAAGATTAATATTTAATAATTAATTCATATATGTTATGATTATAGGCACTTACGTCATTTTATAGAAAAAAGATATTCAAATATAATATATTTGACTTTACATTTATTAATAATTGACAATTTGGAGAAATTTTTTTCATCGAAAGAAAAGGAATATATTATTAAATAAACTAATGTATCTGAAATTCAATGAAGAAATGATTTTCCTTTTATTTTTCTGAGTAGAGATTAAATAAATTTGAGTAATAAAAAAGAAAAGAAATAATATAGGATGAAATAATGTTTTTAATGATATTGTTTAATAAGAAAATTTATCAATTTCATTTGATTGATTATATAAAAATTTTAGCATTTTATAAAATGCTTGAAATATCATCAAAATGAAATCATTATAAATTATTTGATATATATGATTTGGAAAATAGCATTTTTTCAATTCAAAAGAATCAAAATATAATCAGATAAATATTTGATCTTTAGAAAAATTTTAAATCACCTAAAATGTATTTAAACAAAATGAATATATATTAATAAAACAATTTTTAATACTATTAATTTAATATATTTAAAAAACATTTTATAAATAATTAATGAATATTATATATAATTTTCTGGTTTTCATTTGTTATGCAATATATTCAATATACTCTTATAATTAGAATTTAATCAAATGATAAAATTGATTATATTTTGTTGATATAACAAAAATTTATTATATTATCAATTTGAATTGCACTACAATTATATGATTAAATTCATTAGTGCATTAAATACAGTTTAATATTTAAACAATATATTATTCCCATTTTTTTATTTGATTGCATTCATATATTCATAAATTTGAATGTATATTTGGTGTGAATTCAATATAGCTATTTTCTGAGATCTTCTGAAAAAATAAAGGATTTCAATTGTCTCTTAAAAAATTGTATAGAATTTTGTTTCATTCTGATATTTCCATTATTGAATTAATGCCAAATAAGAATTTAATTTCTATTATTCTTTCACATTAACAATTCAAATTAAATTGAATTGATGACATGAGTTAATTTCTGCTAAGTTTTCATATCTCTGATAAGAATCTTTTTTTTTTTTTTTAACAAATATTCATGAATTTATGGTTTAATTTAGTTGTATTTCATATTACATTTGATAATATAGATCTAAGTCTATTGAACTTTTGCAAGATTTCTAAAAATATCTTTGATATATTTAAAAATAGATAATCTCATTCATTTACAACTTTTTATCATAATTTAAAACATGAATATCATTTTTATAAAATAAACACTCTGAACAAAAAAAAATGTTAATTATAATTTTAATTACAATGCAATATTCTATTAAAAAGAATTAAATTTGTCATATAGTCCATCTGGTAATTCAGATTCATCAAATAAATCCGAAAAAAATCCAGAACTTGAATTATTGCTAATTTTATTTTCCACATTTTGTTCGATTTTCTTTGGAATATCATTACGATTTTCTGTATTAATAGTTGAAGTATTATTTGAAACTGGGTTGGTAACCAGTTTTTTATATTTTTTATTTGCATTGGTTGTTTTTGGTAACTTATTTATATAATTGACTGAATTTGGCATTATAAACTGATTGATAGGCACAAAAGGCGGAGCAATCGGTGTCATTTGCATATTTTGTCTAACTGACCATGTTATTATTAAATCTGGTTGATTTTTTAAATAAGGAATGGCTTCTAAGATAATCTTTAACGATTGGTTTTTGTCCTGCAAAACAAACAAGCAAAGTCGTTGCAGTGATCCATTAATAGAACTTTTGCACTTGTCAAGTAAGTATGACATTTGCCTAATATTAACGACAATATAGTTTTTATACCAGCAAACGCCACAAATTAGCGATCTTTTCCATGAATCTTCCTTTTTCCTTGTAACAAAATAATGAATTGTGGACAATATTTCATTAAATGCTTCAATTCTTCTATTCCTACAATTTCGACAAATATGTGAAGAGAGTGTATTTTTCAGTTTGCAATAATAATTAAAGTCATCTTTGCTAATAAAATCTTCGATAGGAGTTTTCAAACAAACAAATTTTAAGTTATTATGTTGTTTTCCTTGTAAATTCATAGATATTTTTGAAACATCTAATCAATTCCTATTTCAATGGCTGTTAGATTATTTTCACTTTTTCTTAAGAGTAAACAAAAAATAAACTTATTATGAAAATTCAATATAAAACTTTATATCTATATCGTACATTTTGGTCACAAATATTATATAAAATTCATTTTTAAATTAAAAAAATGAAAATTAAATTAAAAAAATAAATGATAATTTTTTTCTGATTTTCTTTAAAAAAATAAATTAGATCCAAAATAATTAATTTTTTTCTAACACTAAATCAAAGAAATATAAATTTTTTAATATATTATAAATAACAATTTATTAATTAATTATTTAAAATAAATAATTTATAATATAAACATTATTTATGGAGATATTCAAAATATTAACTATCTATAACTTTTCATGCTATCTCAAATTTTTTTTATTAGTTTGAATTCATTTCTGTTTCCAACTTTTATATCTTTACAGAAAAATAAAAAAGTTGGAATTTTAAAATTAATAGCATATTTAAATTGAAATTTCAGTTTTTGAAATATTATCATTATTTTTCGTTAATTAGGTAATAAATCATTTCATACTGGTTTTATTCCTTATAATAATATATTTAATATGGTTTTATTATATTTTATTGATGAACTTTAGTTTCTTTTTGAGATATATTTATATTTTTCAAATAAAAATTTGAGATATGTTCGATTAAATTGAATTCAATATCTTATATTTGTTCACTTTTTAATTATTTTTTTGAAATTTAAACGAATGAACGGAAAAGAAAGTTTTAAGATCTTTTATAATGATTCAGAGTATAAGATTCCATCTGATTTTCCCAAATTATGCAATGTTAATTCTGAAATTTACCAAAGTTTATTAAGCAAAGGTCAATATGAAATCAAATCCTACATCACTAATTATACTGTCTATAAATCATTTATTGATCATTGGATAAAAAACAAAACAACATTTATTTATCCATTTAAGATCTCTGATTATGAATATTTAAGTAATGAATTTGATCAAATGAAAGAGATAATTCAAATAACTCGAAAAAAATATAATGAATATGGTAATAACTCGGATAAATATGATCTAATGGTTTTAAATGAACAATTGAAAAAAGAGATTAAAAAACTTCAAAAGATAAAGCTTCAAAAAACAAAA